TTCAAGGGTAGCCTGAAGTCGGGCGTGTCCCCCTCAAGGGGCATTTTTTGCATAAAAAAACACACAACAAATGCTCCAAAATGGTTAGAAAATACCCGAAACATAGTCCCGGATTTTTTTTTTTTTTTTTTTTTTTTTTTTTTTTTTTTTTTTTTTTTTTTTTTTTTTTTTTTTTTTTTTTTTTTTTTAAAAAAAAAAAAATGTTTGAAGATTCCCCCTGTAGAGAGACATGCCCGACTTACGAGCAGCCTTGGAGAATGGCTCATCCTTACCGTGCGGCCTGAATCTATCGCTGCCCCCGAGAGCCGTGGACCCGCGAGGGGAGGCCTCGGACTTCGCTGGGTGTCGCTCACTGGGGGGGGGGGGGGGGCCGATGCACTGCAAGGGCCCAAGGACACGCACGTAAATACACACAAATAGCGAGACTCCCAACATTTTCCCATATTTTCTGGGTGTGTCTTCCCCCCCACTTCCCATCTTTTCCCATATTTCCGTGGGAATCGACAAAGAATTGTGTCTGTGTGTTTTTCTTCCATCCTGATGCATGTCCGGGGGGTAGACATGGACACTTCTCGGGTCCTAAAGGCCCCCTCTTGGGCCCGCAGGGGGCCCAGAAGGGCTCCTTTTCTGCAGCCCTCGCTGTCCCCCCACTTTCGGCGGCGAGCGAGGCGGCGGCAATGAGAAGGAGAAGGCCCTCTCATACGGCGGCGGGACTTCTCAGAAGCCCTCGCGTCCTCCGAGCAGTCTTCTGCGTCTTTGGGGAAGGCTTAGCAAACCTTCCAGAAGGACGGGGGACTTCCGAGCCTTCTGATGAGAGGCCCGCCCCTTCTCACTTCTTCCCAGGGCTCGCCGCCGACATTTATCGCCCCCCCATTACGCGACGCCCAACAGATTCGCGTCGTGCCGACCCCAGCGTACGGTTCCTGCCACTGCCGGGATCGTTCCACCTGACACAATCGACCGTTTCCCAAAAACGTCCCATCGTTCAACATCGACCGATTCATCGCCCCGCCATTCTCGCCATCGCTCGGACGTCCATTCCCCGTGGATTCTTCGGCTTCGTGCGTGCGTCCTTTCTTCGCAGGATGACCCGATTTTTTTTTTTTTTTTTTTTTTTTTTTTTTTTTTTTTTTTTTTTTTTTTTTTTTTTTTCTGCAGCCCTCGCTGCACCCCGAAGTATCGCCTCCCACTACGCGACGCCTAAACAACTCCTTCGGCGGCCAGCCCCGAGGGGGAAATGAGAAGGACCGAGCCTTCTCAAAGGCTCGGAAGTGCCCATGCCTTCTGCAAAAGAGAGCTTCTGAAGCCTTCCCCGAAGACACGGCAGACCTCCCGGATGCCCGGAGAGGCCTGCTGAGAAGCCAGGCCGCCTTCTGAGAAGGCCTTCCCCACCTCGCTCCCCCACCACGCCGAGAAACAACGCACGCGTCCAAGCGATACCAGGTTTCGAGGCCTCCTAGATGGGAGTCGGAGTAGATGGGGGTTCCTCCACATCGAGCCGCGTCGCGGATGCATCGGCGATTTCGGCACGATCCTCCGACCCCATCCGCTCCGACCCCATCTGGGAGGTCTAGACAGTTACGCGAGGCCCCACTTCCGGGGTCGGGCAAGAGGGGGGCGTCCAAGAGGGGGGTGCGCACATCATGGCCAGCGGAATGTACGCGGCCCAACGGTGGGCCAGGCAACGTACTGAACTAAGACGGGGGGCCATGAATCTGGGGAGATATCCATGAAGTCTGGTGACATATCCTGGACCCCTGCCATGATATCCACACCCCCCTGGTCATCACCCCTCTCTTGTCGGGTCGGGCGAAGAGGGGGGGGATAGCAAAGGGGGGGGGGGAGGAGAATCCGCTCACGTAGCTGATTTTCCCGGCGCCTCCCGGCGCCGGAGGCGGCTATGTATCTAGGAATAGGCCGAAACCAGCTGCATGCAGCAAATTTCGTACCCCCTCCTGTCCCAATCCCCCCCCTTCGTCCTCCGGCCCGCTCTTGGCCGCCCCCGAAACTCCGCCGCCAGCCTCCGCCGCCGGGCCGGGCCGCGTGCGCCGCCGCGCTGGGCGCCGCCGCGGGCGCCGCCGCAGCGCCGCGCCCGAGGCCGGGCGGGGCGGCCGGGCTCCTGTGAAGGGGCCCTGGGACACACAAACAAATACACACAGATAACAAGATCCCCCATATTTTCCCATATTTTCTGGGTTTCTGTCTTCCCCCCCACTTCCCATATTTTCCCATATTTTCCCATATTCCCATATTTTCCCATATTTTCCCATGTTTTCCCCATATTTTCCCATATTTTTGTCTTCCCATATTCCCCATATTTTCCAATATTTTCCTATATTTTCTGGGGGATCGAGGATTAATTGTGTCTGCGTGTGTTTTCCCCTCCTGGCTCCTGGCGGCCGCCGCGGGGGCGGCCGGCGCGCCGCGCTCCGGGAGGCCGCCGCCCTCCGCCGCCGCCGCGGGGCCTCGGGGGCCGGCGGGAGGGGGCCTCGCGGCGGCCCAAAGGGCTCGAGGCTCGGGGCCCGACGACGACGACGAAAGACGAAAGACGAAAGACGACGACGACGACGACGACAGACGACGACGTCCGCGGCGACAGCGGCGACACCGACGACGACGACGACGACGACGACGACGACGACGACGACGACGACGGACGACGACGACGACGACGACGACGACGGACGGACGACGACGACGACGACGACGACGACGACGACGACGGACGGCGACGACGACGACGGAAGACGACGGACGACGACGAACACCACGACGACGACGACGACGATGGACGACGAAGACGACGTCAATGGCGACGACGACGACGACGACGACGACGACGACCACGACCAAAGGTTCAAGGATCGCGGGTCGATGTTCGGGGATCGCTGGATAGGGGAGAAGAAGACCCGTCCCCCTCCGCCGCCGGTGGGCTCTGTGATGGCTGGCGTGGATCTTGCCTGATCCTCTGGATGCCCAGAGGATCGAACATCGGGGCCCACCCAGACCTCCAACGTACAATACCCTGAGACCCAGGCGATGCAATTTCTGTTGAACCAGGCGTTTCCGCCCAGTGTCGTGCCCCGGGACCCTAACAGATCGATCTGGCTCGTTAAACCACGCAGCAAGGTCGGAGCCAGGACTCAGATCGTGGTTTGTTGCGATGTTGAATCTTTTGGGGCAGCGTCGGATCTCAGGGGAGGCCCAGAGGGTTAAGACTCAGGACGGAGGCGGCATGAAATCTGGACCCACGCGATTCGGAGGAGGACAACAACACAACGAACAAAGACATCACGGGGCATGTCTTCGGAGGTAACATGACTTCGCCCTAGGATCGTCCTGACAGCCGAGGACTTGGGCCTCCAGCCCACCCGATAGGTTACTCAGGCTACCGAGCTCAAGCCGACAGCCAACAGCCCCCCCGCAGAGCAGGGGGGAGGAGACGAGAAGCGGGGAAACCGGTGGTGAGCATGCAGGGAAGGAACAGCAAAGGAGGGGATTCGGAGGAGGAGGAGAAGGAGGACGACGACGACGACGACGACACGAGCATAGAGGGGAGAAGCGAACGACGAAGCGACAGGGGAGAGGACACCTTGGGCTGTCAGGCTCGGGGTTCGAAGATCCAGAGTCGATATTCGGGGATTTGTGTTCGGGGCTCGATGCTTGGGGATGGCTGGTCTGTAAGGGAAAAATTGCGTTCCCAAATACATCGACACGTGCAAAGACTTCTTGTTCCAAACTTTCGGCCTCCAGGCACAGGCGCCAGGCCCCGGGACTGTCCAAGATCGACTCAGGATGCAAAGCCGGCCCTGGGGAATGAGTCAAGACTTCTGGGGATCGCGCATTGACAAACGCAATACATTGGGCCTCCGGGAGTTCGAGGGTCACTGGTCGGGGATTGGTATTCTGAGATGGATGCTCGAGGACCGCTGGTGCTTAGGTAAAGCATGCATGCTTAAACAAACGCCTTCCGCGGTCTGCGCGGATTTCTTGGGTCTGCGCTGGCCCCACCCTCCCTGGCGCGTCGAGCCAGGGGCGGCGCCGGAAGCGCCGCCAGGGGGGCCCAGCGCCAATCCAAGGAACCCGCGCGGACATCCCCCAGTTTTTTAACACGAGGCAACAACTCAGTGAAGAAGACTCTGCAGCGGATCGACGGAAGAGAACAGCCCCTCGCTTTGGGTCGACGACTGGACTCTGCAGCGAATCGACGCATCGACGACAATCGGAGATCCCCCAAATTTGTGCTTCTCTTGTTCCTCTCCGATGCCCGGAAACAGGCACCGCCGCAGCCGAGAACCCATCTGGGAACGCCGACCCCCGGCAGGGCAGGGAAGAGGAGGAGGAGGAGGAGGAGGGCTAGACGCTGCTCGGAGCGAGAAACGCAGAAACGCAGGAGGAGGAGGAAGAAGAGGAGGAGGAGGAGGAGGGGGAGAAGGAGGAGGAGCTGGAGACGAGGAGGAGGAGGAGGAGGAGGAGGAGGAGGAGGAGGAGGAGGACACGCCCGAGCGCCACCCGGCGCCCGACGGCGAGCGGGGCGTGCCCACCGCCCAGGGCGGCGGCGGCGGTCTCCGCCCCCTCCGCGGGCCTCCGCCGCCGCGGGCCTCCGCCTCCCCGCCACCGCTCGGCCGTGCCTCCCGCGTGCTCGCGTCGGTGTCGTGCGTGCATCTCTGCGACGCGATCCAGGATGCCTCTCTGCAGGGGCCCCAGGACACACACACATATATATATATATATATATATATATATATATACATATATATATATACATATATATATAAGCACAAATAAAACTATTCCCCATATTTGCCCATATTTTCTGGGTTTTCGTCTTCCCCCCCACATCCCATATTTTCCCGCATTTTCTGGGGGAATCGACGATTCATTGTGCCTGTGTGTGTTTTCCCCTCCTCACTCTCGCTTGCCCTCGCTCCCCGAGGCGTGCCCACGTCCGAGCGCTGGCAGGCCGACGGGCTCTCGGCGGCGGCGGCGGCCTCCGCCTCCTACCCGCGGACCTCCCCCGCCGCCGCGGGCGCGCCTGCCGCGAAGAGGTCCGCGAGCGCGCCGAACACGCCGAGCTGCGACTCCTCGCGCGGGCCACCCGCCGCGGGGCCGCCCGCGGCGCCGCTGGCCCCGAGCGCGGCCGACAGGGCGCCGAGCGCGAGGGCCGGCCGCTCGTCCTCCTGGGGAGCCACACGCTGCTGCTGCCTGGCGCGCTCCCTCCTTCGGGCGCGAAGGAACGGGGGGGGCCAGCCAGCTGACGCGCACAGTGCGGGCGCGGCCGCGAGGAGCCCTCGCAAGAGACCCAACCCTGAGAACCCGCGCGCGAGGTGCACCTGAGGGGTAACCCGGAGCACCCTGAACGCAGCAGCTCCTTCAACGGCTGCGGGAGGCCACCGCGCAGCGCGAGGAGCGACGAAACCCATGCCACCCTGACGAAAAGCAGATGGTGTCCTGATACGCGCCCCCACCGTATGCCAAGACTGCGCGGTAAGGATGCAGGGGCCTTGGGCCTTGGGAAGCCACGTTGACGTTCTTCGAGTGGGGCTGGCCAGCGACAGTTGCCAGGGATGGGCCTGAGGGGCAAGGATGCAAGGGCAACCTTGCAAGGATGCAGGGGCAACCTAGGCGATGCTTAAGAAAACCTAAGTTTTCGTCCAGAGTCTCGATTATTCTTAACTTTTCAATGTAAATCCCAAGATTTTGATAGAAGTTCTGAGACTATGAATTTCTTAACCCATGATTTCTTAAGCATTTCGCAGGGTGTATGCGGGTTGACTGTGCATGGGGGGAGGGAGGAAAGGTGCCCTCCTCGGGCCCGGAAGGCGCCCATGGGGGGCCTTCAAGGGCCCCTTCAGGGGCCCCCTAAGGGGCCCTTTTCGGCAGCCCTCGCTGACCCCCCAACGATCGCCCCCCCATCACGCGCCCCCCCCCACTTCTTGATCATCCTGACGCTCTGGGAGGTCACATTAGGCCTGCCCGTGCAAGGCGGCCGTGTGGGGTGGTTCGGGGGGGTGTCGGAGAGTGCACACTGACACCCTATGAGCGAACGCCTTCGAGCATGCCTGAGCGAATACCTAGAGCGTTCGCGGTCGTTCTGGACATGGTCCCTCTGGGTGTGCCTCGAGGAGTTGATACAGAGCGGCTTTGTCGTTTGAAAGCATCAGCGGGGTGCACGGTTTCCCCCGGGGCCGTAGGCGACCCGAGGAGGAGGAGGAGGAGGAGGAGGAGGAGGAGGAGGAGGAGGCGGAGGAGAAGGAGGGAGGGAGGAGGAGGAGGAGGAGGAGGAGGAAGGGGAGGAGGAGGAGGAGGAGGACGTGTCGCCGAAGCCCTTCGAAGAAACCCTCCACAGCGGGGGCCCACAGCATGCTGCCCCTGCCAAGCCCGATGCCCCGAAACGCCGGCTGGGGCCCCGAGTCCGACGGATGGCTGCGGCCAGTGTGGCTCCCGCGGGGGGCGCCCCGAGGCCCCAGGGTCGAGTGGACCTGGCAGCCTGTCGGAGGAGGCGAACCAGCAGCATAAACATGCAGGTGAGCGACTTTTTTCTACGGCGTTTCGACATTGGGCGGAAAGGGGGGGGAAAGGGGGGGGGAAGGGGCGGGGGGTCTGGCTTCAGACCCCTGCTTAGTGCGACTGTTTGCAAGAATGCGGCCTCTGGGGGAGACTCGACCCGGTCGAATCAGGCGCCAAACAACAGCCAAGATCTACTCCATGGGGGGGATGGGGGGTTTGGGGGCCCGCACCGATCGGCAAAAATGAATAAAAAAACGACCACCAGTCGAAACGCTGTCATAAAGAACCCTAGATTCTCCATCGACTAAATTTCGGTTTCCATAGAAAGACTGAGGAGAACCTCCGACAAACTGCACAACAACTAAGGAACAATGACCCCCTCCCCAACGAACAGAGTTCCGCTTTCAGCGGCCCGACTGTAACCTTTCGGAGCTCAGCGCTGGACGGACCTCCCTGGCGCGCTGAGCGCGCCAGTGGCGTCGCCGCAGGTGCTGCCAGGGGGGTCCAACGCCGATCCAAGAAATTCGCACGGAGCTCCGAAAACTTAAAGCATGTAGTTCTGCCAGTTTCTCTGCTTCGCCGTTGTATAGAGAGAAAGCACTCTCACAATATGCATTCCGCCAAGCGAAGCCCTTTAGCAAACGCACCCAAGGAAGGAATCGAACAGGACTGGGTTGCTTCGTAAAGCCCCAAGGCCGTTCAATTGACGCCAATTATGGGACTCGGGGTTGTTTTGAGCAGGGACCGACCGTCCCGGCATTCCTACAACGACATGATCTTCGAACACAGAAATGTTCAAATAACAACGACACTGTTCTTAGAGCATAGAGTCGACGTAACCAGACAAAACTGTCTCAGCCAGACCTGCTCTGAGAGCACCTCGCGCAACCAACACAAGCTGCAGAGAACCGTCTCTTGGGTGGGCCGCTCGGCAAGCCAGGACGCTTCGCCACTGCTTGATGGCCGCTCCTCCCTTGAAATTGGTCGCAGGACTCCATAGAGCACACCGACGAGCGGAGCCCTTTTAGCACACGCACCCAGGGCAGGAATCGAGCAGGACAGGCCCGCTTCGTAGACGCACAGGTGGGCCGTTCAGCCAGCGCCGATTCTGGGGGGTCTGGGGTGGAAGTCCCTCTCTCGTAGGTCGGGCATGTCCTCCTACAGGCGGATTTCGGAGGAGAAATGAGACGCACTCAAAACAACTTCAAACACAGCAAAAAATGAAGAATGCTCACACATAGCAAGAAATAGAAAAACACATCGTCCCCAGGCTATTTCTGGACTGCTCTTGAATAGTCCTCCTGTATCGGGGAGACGTAAGACCCGGGTACGGGGGACTCGGGTTGGCCTGACAGGGGCCATCATAAAAATGACGAGACCCAATCTGAAATTTGACGCGGGCTCCCGCTGCAGACATCCCACGAAAACGGAACCGTCACAATCCAGGACGCGCTCGTCAAAAAAAGTCGGCAAACCCGAGATCCGGCTTACTCGAGTCTTACGTTTCCCCGACTGTAGAGGGACATGCCCGACTCAACCCTTGACGTTGGTCGCGGATCTCCTCCCCTGGCGCTCCGGCCCCGGCCGCGCGGCCCCGCGCGGAGCGGGCTCTCAGCGAGGGCGGCGCGCCTTCGCGGTAGGCGCCCGCGCCCGCCCGCCGCCGGCCGCGCGCGGCGGCGCGCGGGCTGCGAGGGGTGGTGCTCTCGCCGGCTCGGGGCGTCAGCTGGCCGCGCGCCTGTCTTTCGGCGCTGGACGCACGAGTGGAGCGACCCTGGGTCAGAGTGACCTCTGTCGGGGAGACGTAAGACCCGGTTACGGGGGACTCGGAAATCCCCGACGAGGTCGTCAAAAAAATGACGAGGCCGAGCCTGCATTTTGACGAGGCCTCCCGCTGCAGACATCCCACGAAACTCCTCCTCGTCAAAATCCGAGGCGCGGTCGTCAAAAAACGGTGGCGAACCCGAGTCCCGGCAAACCCGGGTCTTACGCTCCCCCGAAAGAGTGGAGCGGCCCTGGGTCAGAGTGGCCTCTGGTGCGCGGCCTGTGTGCGGGGCGCGAGGGGGCCACGCCCAAGCGCGCAGGCCGCTGCTATCGCGTCGCGCTCAGCGATCGGGGGGGCAACAGTGAACCCGCACCAAAGGTCAGCCCCTCGAGTCTTGAGCATGAACCGACCCGTCCCGGTATTCCATTATGCCTACACCCTGCGAAATGCTTAAGAAATCATGGGTTAAGAAATTCATAGTCTCAGAACTTGAATAAGAACCCAACATTCCCATTAAAGTCTTAAGATTTACATTGAAACATTAAGAATAATCGAGACTCTGGCCAAAAACTTGGGTTTTCTTAAGCATCGCCTAAGGTGTACCACGAAGTGCCGCTAAAACCAAACACTGTTCCGGTAAGCAGAACGATGTTCTTAGAGCAGAATGAACCGAAAAGGCGCATTAAAACAAGACAGCGTCAGCCAGACATGTTATCATGATATGTCGTGCCAAGAACAAGGTTCGAACACGCATTCTTTTTTGCTGGCCTATAGGCAAGCCAGGTCGCGTCCCAGACCTCCAACGTCTCCCGAAACTCCACGCGGACGTTTCTCGCAATTTTCGGCCTCGTCGATAGGGCCTTCGCGCGGCCCTCGGGAGGTACTCTCGCTGACTCGGGATGTCAGCTGGCCACGCGCTTATCCCAGACCTCCACGGTCTCGGGAGACTCCACGCGGACGTCCCTGAATTTTCGGCCTGTGGGGGCCCTCGCGGGGCCCCAGGACCGCGAAAGACAACTCGGGACGAAACGCCGGCCGTGGGGGGAGGGCCAGGACTTCTGGGGACCCTGTGATGACAAACATTACAGCGGAGGCCAGTCCATAAAAAACCTCCCACAAGAAACCCAACCCGGAGACCCTAGGACGTCCATGGAGTTTTGGCGTGGGAGCGCCGCGCCTACCATCGCAAGACCATCGAAACCCGAGAAACTCATGGTACCCTGGAGGCAACCAGGGTGTTTCTTGGCATGGGCCCCCACTGTAAGACAAATGATCTCTGGGCTATGGGGGAACGAAGAATGACATAAACCTGAAAACTCCGAGATCCGCGCGGATTTCTCGGATCGGGGTGCCCCGAGATTCTCGGGCTTCGATGGTCTTGCGATGGTAGGCGCGACGCTCCAACACCAAAACACCCGCGGAGTCCTCCCCGCGGAGTCCTCCCGCGGAGCCCTCTGGGCTAGGGGCGGCGCCGGAGGCGCCGCCAGGGGGGTCCAGCGCCGATCCGAGAAATCCGCGCGGACACCTCCGAGTTTTTACGCTTTGTCATTCTTCGTTCCCCTATACGGGCGTGCCTCCTCCCGCGGAGTCTGCGGCCGCGCGACCTGCACGAGCTGCTCCGCCGCCGCCGCCGCGGCCAGCGCCGACGCCCTCCCGGAGCGCCGGCTGCGGAAGGCCGCCTGCAGGGCCAGGGCGGCAGCCTGCCCCCCTTGGGGTTGGGTTCGGGCACGGGCGCCTCCTCGTCCTCCCTCCTCCTCCTCCTCCTCCTCCTCCTCCTCCTCCTCCTCCTCTCCTCTCCTCCTCCTCCTCCTCCTCCAACTCTGCTGTCATTCTCCCCCATCCTCCTCCTTCTCATTATTGCTCCTCCTCCTCCTCCTCCTCCTCCTCCTCCTCCTGCCCCTCCTCGTCCACCTCCCTTTGCTACGAAGTCCTCTGGTTTCCCTCCTCCTCCCCCTCCTCCTCCTCGTTGTCGTCCTCCGTCCCTTTTTCCTGCTGCCTCTCCTCCACCTGCCTCCCTCCCCCTTCTCCCCCAGCCATGCCAGAGAAACGACACTGTGCCCCATGGCGCGTTGAGGCGTGCTAGAAGGTCAGGGTCTATCTGGTAGGATCTCTTTAACGACGACAACGACGACGGCGACGACGATTACGGCAACGACGATGGCGGCGACGACGACGACAACGACGAGGGCGGCAACGATGACGATGAAGACAAAAATGCAACGACGATGGCGACGACGACGACAACGGCGAGGGAGGCAACGATAACAACGACGACGAATACGACGACGACAACGACGCGACGTCACCGACAAAGGCGACAACGACGACACGGGCGACAACAACGACGACGACGACAATGGCGATGACGACGACGACGACAAGGACGACGACAACGATGTGACGACAACGTCGACAAGGGCGACATCGACGACAAGGGCGACAACGACGACGACGACGATCATGGCACCGACGACGACGACCACGACCACCACGACGACGACGACGGCACGGACGACGACGACCACGACGATGACGACCCTCCACTTCACGTCCGCGCGTCCTTCACTCATTCTTCTCCTCCTCATTCTCCTCCTCCTCCTCATCCTTTTCCACCTCTTCTTCTTCCTCCTCCTCCTCCACCTGCTCCTCCTCCTGTTCCTACTCCTCCTCCTCCCCCTCCTCTTCCTCATCACTACCAAACGCCCCGGAACCCGAACTAGGGAACCTTGCCTGGGGAACCGGGCCTGGCGAACCGGGCCTAGCGAACCGGACCTGCGGAACCGGGCCTGGCGAATCGGCCCTGGCGAACCGGGCCTGGCGACGTGAGCCTGGCGAGCCGGGCCTGCCGAACTGGGCCTGGCGAGCCGGGTCTGGCGAACCAGGCCTGGCGAACTGGGTCTGATCCGGCGAACTCGTCTCTGGCGAACCAGGCTTTGGGTCCTCTGGCGACCCAGTCCTCTGGCAAACCCGTCTTCGGCGAAGCGGTCCTCTCTGGGGAACCTCGGTTCTGCCCCTAGGGCGCCCGAAGACAGCCCCAAAACGCCATTTGTGAGCCTTCGATGGGGGGGGTTGAGTTGAGCACCCCCCATGTTTTAAACAGTGAACCCAAAATTGCCCGAAGAGGCGTCCCGTACCGCCCGAAAGAGCCTCAAGAGAGCCCCACATACCCTCTCTCAGAGCCCCAGGACTGCCCCAAGAGTGCCCCAAGCGGCTCCGCGAGGACCACAACAGAGACCCCACATGGCTCCAAGAGATCTACGAGAAAACACTTGCAAGGCGGCTGTTGCACTGCGTCTACATTTCCCTGATCAAGACAACTCGTCTGGTGATGTGGTTGTGGATGGGCTGGCGGGGATATTTGCTGGTCCGCGGGCGCGCGAAACGAGTCGAACGCCGAGCCCGCTACGGCGGGCCGCGCGGGCAGCGAAGAAAAATCAGTGAGCGACGGCACGCTCAGGGACGCGAAACCGACCCGGCGGTAAACGGCAGAAGAGCGCGCCGAACACGAAAGCCTTGTGCAAGAGCGTGGCGAACGCAGCGTGCCCGAAGAGCATGACAGCAAACACGTAGTGAAGAGTTGACCGATGAGACGAAAACCACAGTGCCAGCGAAGAGGACGCATGCTGGTGGGGATTTTTGTGATCGCGACCGCGGCGAAGAAAAGTCGGGCGGCGTCCAGGAAATTACACATCAGAAACAGCCTAAACTAGCGCCTAGGAAGAGGAAGCGAAAAGAAAATAAGAAGAACGAGCAGGAACGAGACAAACAGGAGGCGAGCTAGGACAAACTTATGGGCGACGTGCAACACCAGGTGGTAACTCAAGAAGCCCACGTCCCAGAGGAAGAACACCGCCGGCAGGATGAACAGCACGCCGTGAACGAAGCCAGGGGGCAGCGCAGCGTAGGACGGCGACCCCCGACACGGAAGGGCTGCACATGCGGGCGCTCAACGGAAAATCCGGATCGCCAGACACCGCGGGGTGTCGAGGGGCAGCGGTGGAGGCGAGCCCCGACCGGACCTGGTGGGGATATTTTTTTTTTAAAACGGCCGCAGGCGGAAGCGCCAGCGGCATGCGGTCACGGTCGGGCTGCGGCCGCGACGAAGGGGCGGGCGCGCGCGGGGCCGCGGTCAGGCGGCGGGCAGCGGCAACCCAGGGCGTCTGAGAAGCCAGGGCGTGCAAATCCAGGGAGTCTGCCGGGCCTGGTGGGGATACGTGAAGCGTCAAGAATTTGAAACGGTTTCACAGATGCAAGGCGGGCGGGTTTCACGGATGCAGGGCGGGCCGGTTTCAGAATGCGGCTCTCGCTTCAGCGCCTGGCACATGTGTCTGAACAGTTTGCAACACCTTCACGTTTGAAGGACGGTTACTTTTCAACATCGGGCTCTCTCTTGAGAGCCTCGCACAATGGTCTTTGAAATTGTTGCCGCTGCCTCAAGGACTCATATGGTTGAAGCCCCAAGAACAATGTCATCGAAAGGTTTAAGATTGTCAGGACGCAACGGTCGCGTTGATTCGTTGCGTTAAAGATTTAGGTGTGGTGCCTGGGCACGATGTAGGACTATCAGGGCGCAGCAGTCGCGTTGACACGCGGCGCAGATGTCCCAAGAATGGTGATTTAACACGATCGGGGAACTCTCAGAAACAAATATCTTCCAGTGAAGCATTGTTGATGCGGATTGGATTTGCACTGGGAATCATCCTCCTCCTCCTCCTCATCCTGCTCGTCCCCATCTTCCTCCTCCTCCTCCTCCTCCTCCTCTTCTCACCCTCCTCCTCCTCCTCCTTCTCCTCCTCCTCCTCCTCCTCCTCCTCCTCCTCCTCCTCCTCCTCCTCCTCCCCCTCCCCTCCCCTCCCCTCTCCTCTTCCCCTCCCCTTCCCTTGCATCTCTCCCTTCCCCTGTCCTCTCCTACTCCACCTCTTTCTCCTCCTCCACCTCCTCCTCCTCCACCCTCCTCCACCCTGCAACCTCCTTCACCTGCTCATCCTCCTCCCCCCCTTCCCCGAGGGCTCCCCTCCACTCTTCTCTTCCCCTCTCCCTTCTCTTTCCTCTCCCCCCTCCCAGTCTCCCTTCCCCTCCTCCTCCTCCTACTCCTCCTCTTCCTCCTGCTCCTCCTCCTCATCCTCCTCCTCATCCTCCTCCCTCCCTCCCCATTCCTCGTCCTTAAAACAAACTGTTTACTGTCGCACCCCGAGGCCGGTCGAATAGGCGGACTGGGCGTTTCGCCTGAGACTTCCTCACCATTTGTGACCGGGAACCTTACACATTGGCGACAGTTTCACAGATGGAAGGCGGGTCGTTTTCAAAATGTGACTCCCGCCTCAGCGCCGCGCGCATTCATTTTAAACATTTGCAAGGAGCTTCATGGATTGAGGGCGGGTCGTTTTCAAAATGCGGCTCTCGCCTTAGCGCAGCGCACATTCGCTTTAAAGATGTGCAAGAGTTCCACGGATTGGGGGCGGGTCGTTTTCAAAATGTGGCTCTCGCATTAGCCGCGGCGCACATTCGTATTCAAACATTTGCAAGAGCTTCACGGGTTGAGGGTGGGTTGTTTTCATCTGTGGCTCTCGCCTTAACCCTGCGCACATTCTTTTGAAAACATTGCAAGGGTTTCACGGATTGAGGGCGGTTCGTTTTCCAAATGTGGCTCTCGCGTTAACGCTGCGCACATTCCTATTTCAAACTTGCAAGGGTTCCACGGATTCCCATGGTCAGCGTCGCAGAAATGACGTTCTGAAAATATTCAAGCTTATGAGGTCGCAGCAATCATGTGGATTCGCGGTGTTGAAGTCCCAAGAATGGAGTTATGGCACGATTCAGGATAGTCAATACGCAACAATGGGTCCGTGGCATTTGAGTCCCGATAATAATGATACCGGAGAAAAAACCCAATCAGATGTTTGTTAGGGCTATAGGGCCATAGGGCTATTGGGCTATTGGGCTATAGGGCTATACGGCTATCGGGCTATAGGGCTATCGGGCTATAGGACTGTAGGACTGTGACCTATAGGGCCATAGGGCTATAGGGCTATGGGGCTATAGAGCTATATGGGCTATGGGGCTATAGGGATATAAGGCTATTAGGGCTATAGGGATATAAGGCTATAGGGCTACAGGGCTATAGGGCTATACGGCTATAGGGCTATAGGGCTATAGGGCTACTGGGCTATTGGGCACCCCCGGGCACCCGAGCACCCCCGGGCACCCGGGCACCCCCGGGCATCCGGGCACCCGGGCACCCGGGCCCGGCCACCGAAATCGGCCAACCGGGCACCCCCGGGCACCCGGGCACCCGGCCCCGACCACCGAAATCGGCCGCTCACCTCACCTCAGCTTTATATCCGCTAGGACCCCTACAGAAGCAAGCTCTGATTGGGGAATGGGTCGTTTTCATCTGTGGCTCTCGCCTTAAACCTGCGCACATTCTTTTGAAAACATTGCAAGGGTTTCACGGATTGAGGGCGGTTCGTTTTCCAAATGTGGCTCTCGCATTAACGCTGCGCACATTCCCATTTCAAACTTGCAAGGGTTCCACGGATTCCCATAGTCAGCGTCGCAGAAATGACGTTCTGAAAATATTCCAGATTTTGAGGTCGCCGCAGTCATGTGGATTCGCGGTGTTGAAGTCCCAAGAATGGAGTTCTGGCACGATTCAGGATAGTCAATACGCAACAATGGGTCCGTGGCATTGGAGTCCCGAGAATAATGTTTTGGCATGCCTCAGTCAGTGTCTTCAAACGGTTTCCAACGAGGCAGTTCCCTCAGTGGAAACAAACTCTTGTAGGGGCATGTGAAGAGGAAGCTTGGAGGGAGGCTTGATGCCAACATCGTTGATGACTCTTGGGTTCAAGCTGATCCTCCTCCTCCTCGTCCTCCTCGCCCTCCTCGTCCTCCTCGTCCTTGTCCTCCTCGTCCTCTTTGTCCTCCTCGTCCTCCTTGTCCTTCTCGTCCTCCTCGTCCTCCTCCGCCTCCTCCTCCTCCTCGTCCTCCTCCTCCCTCCTCCTCCTCCTCCTCCTCCTCCTCCTCCTCCTCCTCCTCCTTCCTCTCCTCTGCCTTCACTCCGCGAATCCTCCTCTCCTCACTCCCCCCTCTCCAGGAAGGCCTCCTGAATGAACTGCTCCTCGACCTCCGGCTCCACTGCGCCGGGCACCGGGCCTCCTGAGGAAACCAGAAGATGCCGCTTCCCTCGAAGGTTTTTTTGCAACCCTTCGTTTGGTTTTTTTTTGCAATCCTTGGGTATTTTTTTGCCATCCTTCGCTGCAATCCTTGGTGTGTTTTTTGCAATCCTTCGAGCCCTCCACGGGGCGCGTTCTGACCTGACCGCCGATGCGAAATCCAACGGCGGTGACGAGGGCCTCCCAGGGGGCCCCGGGAGTCGAAAAAGCAGCGCCGGGAGGAGGAGGAGGAGGAGGAGGAGGAGGATGAGGAGGAGGAGGAGGAGGAGCAGGAGGAGCAGGAGGAGGAGGAGGAGGAGGAGGAGGATGAGGAGGAGGAGGAGGAGGAGGGGTAGCGATCGACGCCCTTTCCCCCTCTGATCTCCGGCGCCGCGGCCGTCGGCAGCGGCCTCGCCCGCAGCATCGGCGGGCCCTCCGACTTCGGCATCAGCGGCGGCCTGCAGGATCGAGGCGAGGTGCCCGAGGTCCCGCTGCCTCTCGGGGGAGGAGGAGGAGGAGGAGGAGGAGGAGGAGGAGGAGGAGGAGGAGGAGGAGGAGGAGGAGGAGGAGGAGGAGGAGAAGGGAGGAGGAGGAGGAGGAGGAGGAGCATGAGCATGAGCATGACTGCGTGACAATGTCAGGTCTTGACTGCAGGGCCTCTAGCCTCCTTGGGCGTGTGAATGACACTTGGACGCTTCCGCCCTCTTCTCTGCAGCGCTGCGAGCTTTGGGCCATTGGCCCTTAGAAACCCTATTAAGGTACTCCTGTCTGTGGGGAAATACCTTGGCCAAACACAATTTGCCGAGATTCCGCAATTGTTGACTGGCATAGCACCCGCAACTGAAACAATACCACAGCTTTAGACCGTCATGCAACTGCGTCACATGAAACTCGTGCAACCATCCGCCTGCTATGTGCAGCTTGGCCTGTGGAGGTTTCTTAAAAATGCAACCGTCGTGCTTGAGCATCGCAAAGCATGGCGAGGTCCGCCACTCTGTTAAAGTGCTGTGAGAAGCCGATCCTCCGCATCGGAGGCATCCTCGACCACTGTCGTCGAGGGCATGGCTGGAGGAGAAGAGGGCGAGGGAGGCAGCAGCAGCGGGGACAGGGGGGGGGCATGTGCGCCTTTTTCCCTTAGATTTCCCAGCTTCAACCTTCTAGCTGGCTTCGGCGGTAAAGGCATCGAGCGAAGCTGTCAAAATACGCACGCGTACAAGATACGCTCGCCTGTCATGCATCAAAACAGAGTGACGGCAATATTCTGGCAATCTCGTCTCATGCTCTGTCCAACCAGCAACTTCATCAACTATGGTGTTAGCCGTAACGGCCCATCGCATCCGAGGGTTGCGGACTATATTCTCGGGTCTCTGATGGGAGTGCACAAAAACAACCGTGACATCGTGGGCAGGGCCTCGCCTAGCTAGGAGCTGCCCAAGAAGCGCCCAAAGGTCGGCGTCGGGGCCTCTAGGGAGAGGAGGGGGGAGGAGGAAGGAGGGAGGAGGGAGGAGGGAGGAGTACCACCAAGGGAGTCACCACCAGTTCCTCCTGAGGGCCCCGACCTCAAGCGCACTGAACAAGTCTGAGACGTGGGCTTTTCGTCGCGCTCGGCCTCCGAGAGCCCCCGCCCAGCCCCAAGACCGTCCAAACACGGCACGGGATGCAAAACGGGCCCCGGGGAGAAAGGGCCCCGGCAGTTTTTAATACAGAGGATTGTTGTTGCTATAGGATTGTTCGTTCATGATTAATGTATGAATAAATGTATGCATGAACTCATCGTTGTCTTTAATACTAAAATCCCAGCATTTTTAATACATGCTCCGCACGCGGAGCCTGTATAAGAAAACGGCACTGTCGGGACTTCTGGGAGCCACGTCCTGAGAAAAAAAAAAAACATACATCGGATCTTTTGGAATCGGGGTTCCAGGATCGAAGCTCGGGCAGATGGCTGGTCGTAGAGGCCTCCTAGATGGGTCCGAGATGGGGTCAGAGGATCGCGCCGCATCGCAAATGCATCGCCAATGCATCGGCGATGCATCGGCGATGCATCGCCAACGTCGGCGACGTATCGGCGACGTCGGCGTGGGGAAACACTGGCTCCACATCGAGCCACATCGTCGATACATCGGCGAACCTCCGACCCCATCTACGTCGACCCCATGTGGGAGGCCATGGCTTTCCTGGGGAATCCGATTGATGTCTAACAAAAATGCGAAGCCCCATGGCTTTCCAAAGGAATCCAATGGATTTCTGGGGGCCCCGTTTCCTCGAGGAGACGAGCTGCGCAAGATGAAGCACGATTTACAGCTCAAGCTGCAGAGCCCTGGCCGGAATGAGCTGGTGCAGACGATTGCCAAGAGGAGCCCAGGAAACGTGGCTGATTCGAAGCTCCCTGCAAGGCCGAAGCGTTCCAGAGGCAGGCCATGCACAACTTGGGACCGCTTCTCATCCACATTTTTCCATACCGAGTCCAGTATTGGACCGGGCCCAGTTCTCGATCGGGGATTATGTGTTGTGTGTATGCTTCCTCGAGGAGACGGGTCATAGTCGAGGCGGTGGCGACCCCCCTGGTGCAAGGCCCCTGTTGGGCGCTGCCTGGCCTCTGCCACGCCACGCCGAAGACCTCCGCAAACAGGTGGGCCTGGGGCGGGGAGGGTGGACGGTTGCCCCCGGGGCCGTAGGCGACCCGAGGAGAAGAGGAGGAGGAGGAGGAGGAGGAGGAGGAGGAGAAGGAGGAGGAGGAGGAGGAGGAGGAGGAGGAGGAATAGGAGGAGGAGGAGGAATAGGAGGAGGAGAAGGAGGAGGAGGAGGAGGGGGGGAGGAGGAGGAGGGGAGGGAGAGGAGGAGGAGGGGGAGGGGGAGGAGGAGGGCGGGTCGCCAAAGCCCTTCGGAGAACCTCTCCAGGCGGGGGGGGGGGGGGCCAAAGGACGCCGACATCAAGCCGCCCTGGACCTCTCCTGGGGCGCGCTCGGACCGGCACGCTGAGAATCCCGGCCGTGGCGACGAGGGCTTTCCAGGACGAGCAGCGGTACTCGAGGCCTCCTGGATCGGGTGCGAGTAGATGGGGTCGGAAGACCGCGCCGCATCGCCGACGCCCCAGCGATGCATCGGCGACGTCGGCAATGCATCGACGCCGTCGGCGTGGAGAAGACCAGGCCCCACGCCGAGCCGCAGTGCCGATGCATCGGCGATGCGGCGCGGCGCGATCCTCCGACTCCGATTTACCTCCGACCCCATCTGGGAACCCTAGAGGTATGGGCATCCGCCTGCCAGCTCCGCGTCGCCTCCGCCCAACTCCCTGACTCTCCGGCCATGCTGCCATGCTCCATCCACCCTTGCTTCCCTCCTTTCAGCCACCCTGCCTCCTCGCGATGAGGAGGACCTCGGGAAGAGGAGTGGCCAAAAAGAAAAGGCCCTGTCTTCCCTCTCATTGTTTGCCGTACACCCGGGCATGAGAGGGGAGTGATGGCTAAGAACACATGTTCCTCCCCCTCCTCATCCTCATTCTCCTCCTCCTCATCATCTGATTATTATCATTATGCTTATTTTTCTCACTCTTCTTCTTATTACTATTAGTATTGTCAGTATCAGTATTACTATTATTACTACCTTTGCTCTCATTATAAATATTAATATTCGTCTTATTACTATTATTCGTATTATGAATTATTATTATTATGATTCCTCTTCCTCTTCATCCTCCTCTTCCTCCTCCTCCTCCTCCTCCTCCTGCTCCTCCCCTGGAGCTCCTCCTCCTGCTCCTCCCTTGGAGCTTCTCCTCCTCATCCGCCTCCTCCTCCTCATCCTTCTCCCCCGGAGCTCCTCCTCCTCCTCCTCCGCCTCCCCCTTCTCCTCCTCCTCCTCCACCTCCTCCTCCTCCTCCTCCTTTCCTACCCCCCCCCCCGAGGGCCCCCATCTGCGTGGAGCCCGTATGCTGCGCGGCGGCGAGCAGGGCGCGGAAGGCCGCGAGGGCGTCGCGCGGCGGCGCGCCCTCCCTGCCGAGCTCGGAGGCGGCCGCCGCGAAGAGCTCCGCCAGGCGGCGGGCTGTGCCCTCGGCGAGCGGCACGTTGACCTCTTGTGAGGCCATGGGCTGCAGCAGGGCTGAACCTAAGCGGTGTTTTTCGGTTTCGTTTTGTTGTTCGTTTTCCCTCGGATTGTCTTCGATCCGCCTTCACCGCAAAACGACATCGAACCGAAAACGACCCACGAAATGACCGAACACACCGTTGAGGTCCAGCCCTGGGCTGCAGAGCCGACCCATGTTTTAGGATTCGCAGCGTTGTCCAATGATTTCCTGGATCTGCCTCTCCCCTCCATGTCCAATGATTTATTCTGGATTCCTATGGACATGGGCGTTTCGTTGTGTGTGTGTGTGCGCGTGTGTGTGTGTGTGTGCGTGTGTGTGCGTGTGTGCGTGTGTGTGTGTGTGTGTGTGTGTGAGTGTGTGTGTGTGTGTGTGTGTGTGCGTGTGTGTGTGTGTGTGTGTGGGCCGATTCTCCCCTCCTGATTCTAGGAAACCTTCGTCAGAACGACAAAAGGCGATCACGAGCGGCGAGCAGATCGGCATCCGCGCCCTCGCGGTCTGGACTCGGGGGCGGGATCCCGCGAAGGCGCGACCCCACGACGTGCTGCGGGCACGCTCTGCGCGGGTTCGCGGCTCGGGGGCCCCCGGCCCGCGAGGCCACGAGGCGCGGATGTTTTTTTTTGTTGTCCCACGAGGCGCGGATGTTTTTTTTTTGTCCCACGAGGCGACGAAGCCCGATGAAGGAGCCATTAAAACGGAAAGCCCAGCTTGAGCGGAGGCCAGCTTGAGCATTTTTGGGTATGTTTGGTGGTGTTTGTAATTTTTCGCCCAAAATCCCCCTCTAGGGGGACACGCCAATCCATGAGCACGTTCCGACGAGTTCCCCCCTGTGCCCTCAGGGAAGGCACGTGCGGCCGACCCCGCCACCCCGCCCTCCGCGGGCCCGCGCTTGGGAGCTGCTGTTCGCCCCGTCGGGGTTCGCGGCACTGCCCTGGCTGACCCGGGGTCGCGCGAACGTATGGAAGACGGATGGTCACAAGCTGGCCAGATCTCCGACTGCGGATCTACCAGTAAAGGGCCACACGCGAACCCTACCCCCGACCCCCACGATTTCTGAGGGGGAGGGTGGGGGTCACTTCGTTCGGAACGAAGTGAACCCCACCCTCCCCCTCAGAAATCGTGGTGGGTAGGGGTAGGGTTCGCGTGTGGCCCCCTAACCAGCGCCGATGCTGAATTGGCCGTCTGGGAAGTTGCATCCTAACGGAGAAACCGAAAGGTATCGATACCACGACTCCCTGGATCTTCCCTGGTGCGTCCGGACCAGCACTCCGAGGCGCATCCGGCCGTGATGTCGAGGGCCTCCCAGGACCCCCAAAGAAGCGAACATGAGGGAGGGGGGGGGCGGCATCCGGCGGCGAGCGAGGGGGGGAAGGGAAAAGAAGGCCTTCTCGGAAGGCGGCGCGACTTCTCAGAAGCGCTCGCGCCTTCTGGGAACTTTCTGGCGCCCCCGGGGGGGGGGGCTCAGAAACCTGCTCAGAAGCCTGGGGGCCTTCCGAGCAGGCTGGGGGGCTTCCGAGCCTCCTGAGAACTTACGATCCTCTCCTTCTCACATCCCCCCCTCGCTCGGCGCCGAAGTACCGCCTTCTGAAAACTTACGATCCTCTCCTTCTCACATCCCCCCCTCGCTCGGCGCCGAAGTACCGCCTTCTGAAAACTTACGATCCTCTCCTTCTCACATCCCCCCCTCGCTCGGCGCCGAAGTACCGCTACTACAGGAAGAAACCGCGGCATAAGCCAAACTTGTGGAGCTCCGCGCGGGTTTTCTTGGATCCGCGCGGGGCCCCCCCTCCCTGGCGCGCGGCGCGCGCCAGGGGAGGCGCCGGATGCGCCGCCGGGGGGGGGCCCCAGCGCGGATCCGAGAAATCCGCGCGGAGCGACAAAAGTCGATGTCGATGGCGATTTTTTTCTTCGAGAGGTCTCGTTACTGCTCCTCCTCCTCCTCCTCTTCCTCCTCCTCCTCTTCCTCCTCCTCCTCCTCCTCCTCCTCTTCCTCCTCCTCCTCCTGCTCCTCCTGCTCCTCCCCCTCCCCCTCCTCCTCCTCCTCCTCCTCCTCCTCCCCCTCCTTTTCCAGTGGTTCTCTCTTCACCCCACCATTCCAGGAACGAAAGGGCTGCTGAAATGATATACGAGCGGTCTGGGTAGGCCTGGTTTCCCGAAGTGCAAGCCGAGGTTTAACCAGCGCCGAAGAAAAAGTGTGACAGCATACGTCTAGACACCACCAATTATCACCCTCTGTGGTCGAGAAGATCCCACCACCACCACCTCCCCCTTCGGGGCACAAGGGGGTGAGGTGCCAGGGGCGTGAAAAATGTTGGCCTCTGGGCCACGGGAGCCGTCCATTGATATTTTGACGACGCCGTTGTACGAAAATTTTGTCGCAAGCGGCTCCCAACTTACATGAAAACCCCAAATTATAAGCCCCGCGGCGCAGACAAAACACAATCGGTCTACCAGTTTCGACTAACGTACAAACATGCAACTGGTGGGGGCGGTCTAACGGGATGTCAGCCAAACTCTTTAAGACGGGAGGAAGAAAAGCACAACTACCTGGAGCCCTCTTGTCTTTGAAGCACCTGGCGCACTGGGCGCACCTCCAACGGCAACCGTTCCACAGCACTCGGTGCGCACGTCCCCTGGAAATCATCCTCACCTTGGGAGGGGCGGGGTCCCTAGACAGTTTTCCGAACAACTCCTTGGCTGGCGGAATGTCAGCCAGGAGGCGTGCAACAGGCCTGGCAATCAGGTTCCATTCGGCGGCAGCCGATTCATATCTGGATATGTTGCCCAAAACATCAAGATGTGAATGAACCCCATCACGTGCATACTCGTCCGCTTTGTCATTGCCTCTCTCATGTCGACAATTTGCGCCCGTGACTGTGTCATCTGTGATGTGTGCTTTTCACGTTCTATAGATGCCACGCTGGATAGCGCCTCTGAAACAGGGCTCCCCAAACCTCTGCCAGCGGAGTCGACCCTGAAGCCGCCGTGAAGCTGTTTTCAGCTCCGCTGAAGAGGCCCCTGCAATCCACGTGGATAGTGTACGCAAAATCTTCATCATTAACATCACTTGACACATGTTTAAGTGCTTGGAGGGGTGCATATACTTCACCAAATACCGCACACTGGGGCAGAAAGCCAAGCACGTTACCAAAGGCCGCCTGGATGAAATCCGCCTCTTCATTGACAGCAGTAACTGCCCGCCCCAACCTGGCAACGCGAAGAGTGGGCCCCGTGCACGAGCCATCCGTGTAAATGTAGACGTGTCTCGTGAAGACGATTTCCCCACAGGGGTCCCCGATGGAGTGCACATACTCAACCTCCCCATCCCATGAGCGCGGCATGATGTCTGCTGGATATGGGTGCCAGGGGTAGCTGAAGAGCGGGTCATCCTCGTCAACCTCGAGGCCGCGTCTGACCAGCTCTGCCGAAAGGAACTCCGATCTGCGTTCTTGCAGACCTTCACACTGGTAGAGACGATGCCATACAGAATCGATGTGGCCATTCTGTTCGCGGCGGCGGAATGGGAGGAGTGGTGGTACTTGAAATCCCCATCTGTATAGGGTAATCGCAGTAATATATGAGCGTGGAGATACTTGTTTGATGCATCGGCGATTGATTTTCGCACTCCTGCTAGAGCTGGACCTCCAAAAGCTTCTCGGTGGATCCACCCACGGGCCCCTCTCCAAGATCTCCAGAGCACTTGCATTGACGCCGCCGCCGAAATACTGAACCATTCGTTCAGAGATAGGCTGCGTACTAAGATCGCGCATGGAATACTTGGCTACTTGACAGTAAGGCGCGGCCGTTAGGATGAAGCCCCCCCCCTTCGCGCATCGTGAAATGCCCCTGCGACGCCCCATTTGGCTTTCATCATCCACTGGAGTATATCTCCCACAGGTCCCCAAGCCCTGAAATCCCAGGAACTTCTGGGGTGCGTCTCCAGGTGCTTCTGAACGATGGGTATAAGTCTGGCCAACTCACCTGCTGTCGAGCAGTCTCCTGGCCTATGCTCCAGCGACGTGGTCAGCCAGAACTGCTTGGCATATCTGGTAACCGTAGCACCTGCATGGCGCAGCGGGTCCTTGTCAGGCTCCAAAGAAAAAGCAAGCTCGAGATCTGCTCCACAGCTCGTGAGTCCCAGGGTGCAACCTGCCTGTGGTCGCAGACGACGGATCTCGGCTGGCGACCATCCCACCACCTCTTCCCCATAGGCCGCAGCAGGTTACACTCCACAAAACCACACCTTGACCTTAGATCTTTCGGGGTTCTTGAGGGAGGCATTACTACGCGTTCGTTTTTTGCAATTCGCCCATCTGTCTCTCTCCTTCTCTGTCTCGCTCTCGCTCTCGCTCTCTCTCTCTCTCTCTCTCTCTCTCTTTCTCTCTCTCTCTCTCTCTCTCTACTTCTCTCTCTCTCTCTCTCTCGCACTCTCTCTCTCTCTCTCTTTCTCTCTCCCTCTCTCTCTCTATCCGATTGTGATTGCGCTTCCCCGCCGCCCGGCGATTCCCTGGGCTGAAGTCCACTCCCAGGTTGACGATGGCAGGATCGCAAGCCCCCGCGCATTGCTTGAGACCAGCAAGTGCAGCACGCACAAATGCTGGACTCGCACCAGTGTGACGTAACTTTTTGAGCGAGAAGGTGAGGTTGAAGAGGCTAGAGAGGCTACCCACCAAGAACGCAAGGGCCGAACCCATGTTCGTAACACAGCTCGAAATAAAATCATTATACGCAGTCAATCCAAAGTCGTCTACGTGCGCTGCCAGTGACGGCGTAAAGCCTTGTTCTAGGTAGGCGTTCACGGTGGGGAAGCAGTCGAATTCTATTTACAACGTAGCTGTGCTGCTCCCCGCCGCGATTCCCTGCCCAGGTTCAAGTGGATCCGAAACCATCCCATCCATGCATCGCATCCTCCTCCACCCATGCGTGCGCAGTGCAAGCCGAAGTGAGTGGAGTGGGAATTTCCAGTCAATAGCCGTGCGAACTAGCTGGGGGCGTTGTACATGTTCATGGCGCTGTTTGAGATCTCCCACAAGCGACAATATATGTTGTGTGTCTCCTACAGTTAGATCTCCGCGCACGGTCTGGCGCCTAATTGCGTCTGCAGGCCTCCTAGACGGCGCCATGGAGAATATACCTCTGTCCTGGACACGCTTCTCCCAGTTTTTGCAACCCCTGGAATGCCACCTCGAAGTCGCCCTGAAAAGCGACAGGAAAAAAACCAATGGGTCGGCGACCCACTACTGGCTTTCTGAAAAGAGCTACCTGGAGAGTGCGCATCCAGGTTGGGGCTGCCCCCACCATCGTCATGAGACACATAACCTGACCGGGCAAGCCCACAGCGGGCCGACAAAGTAGATGAGAGTGGCGAGGATGGAAACCATCTGCAGCAATAGTGGCCTTTTTAAAGCTCTTGCCCATGGGCAATCACCTCATCAACGCCGGGGGCCTTCGGGAAGACCATGTCTTCAGGCCAATCAAGAACCTGAAAATCATCGCGCCCCCCCCCCCCCCCCCCAAGCTCATGGCCATGACATTTCCTCCTCCTTCATCTGAGCTGTCAGGCATGAGGTGTTGCTGCCGCAATCTGTGCCAACAATGTCCTGGCGCCTCGAATCTGCCGCCTCGGTGTAGGCGCGGGCCCACTTGGCCCCGCCCGCAAGCGCCTCCGTGCACCAGTCCTTCCACTTCTGGGCCCGATCTTTGCGCTCTCTGGGCGGGCAGGCCTCTGCGCTGACATTGGCGAACTGGTATGCAGAGAAAAGTGATTCTGCGACTTGCTCTGCTCGCCAAATGAAGCCGTCGCAGCGGAGAGGCGCAAGGGCAGCCTGGAGGAAGCCGAGCCAGAGAGTCTTCCCACCAGGATAGTGGCACTTGAACCCCCCTCCAGACACCGTAGACGCATTGGTAGAATTCACGAATTCTCTGAAATATTCTGGATGAGCAACGTATTTACAGCTGTGAGCCAATGAGCAAAGTTCATGTACTCGACGGGCGAACCCATGGAGTGCTCGATAGGGGCCGCTCGTTGGCGACCTTCTAGAGCACGGCAGGTTCCCAAGAGGTATAGCTCCAACATTCTGTTGTGAACCACTGCGGAGCCCTTTCTGGGGAACGCTGCAGGGCACCGTCGAGTTCCTTCCAACCTGGCCCACGCAATTCCCCGCAGTCATCCGGGCCCATCTGGAGTACGGCCTTCCCAGGGCCAGTCGGGAGTCGGCAAACCCCTTCCGCCTCCAAGGGCTCCAAGAGTGTATCCATGCGCTCTCGAAGGTCGTCGTAATCAGGGGCCTCAAGAGCAGGTCCTGTCGGCAAGTCGACGGACAGTCGTGCAAATTGGCGAAGCCTTTTCACAATAATCTTGTCAAGGCCCTCCTCCAACGTTGCAAAGAGTGGGCGACGTGGGAAAATCTGTTCGCCCACCTCTGCGATCGCAGAAGCCACGCAGGGCAATATGGTCTCGCCAACAAGAAAGTAATCGAACCAGGTACCTGGATTCGATGCAACGCGCGTTGCCGTCGGAGACGGCACCGCCACTTGCCCTTTGAGCTTGCGCGGTGCACATCCTTCCTGAAACACATGTGGTTCCAAGTTGAAATCCCCGCCCGCTACGCATGGCGCACCGCTGTGTAATATGTTTTTCCTAAGACGCTCGCAATGCGTAGGTTGGTCTGTGCGAGCCCCCCCCCCCCCCCCGCCCTTCCAATGCCCACAGCGCATAGATGCTATGCCCAGCGCTTTTGAGCGGGGAAAAACGTGTCAAAGTTTGTGTGGCACCAGCGGGGCTTCTCGTCCTGGCCGCTGCCATAGGTCGAGGCTCGCCCTTGCCAGTGTGCAAACTCCTGCCGATCTCCCCAAGCTCCGTGTAATGCAGCGCGGTGCCCAGAAGCTCTTCCATCCAAGTTTGCGCGCACTTTTCCCTGGCCTCGTTGAGACCTTGACCATGGAGTTCATGTTCTTGAACAAATACGGCATGAGCCTCACAATCTTTGGTAAACGAAACTGCAATAGACAAACAATTTCCATTGACCGTGAGGATCTGCAGTCGGCCCGATGTGGCTTCACTTTGAATGTTACCCTCGCGAGCGTGGTGGTCGCTCAGCTCCCGCCGCAGCCTCGCCTGACTCGGTGAGTCTGCGCCTGGCTGCCGCCTCGGTCTCGACCCCGGCTGCTCCGCGCTCTGACAGCGGCGCGGGAGGCATAGGTACGTCTGCTGCAGCTGCTTCAGCTTGTGGAGCCTCGGCGCCACGCTCAGCCAACTCCTCATATGCTCGCTCATGTCTGTGCCGGGCCTCCTCAAAGCCACCTGCTGTGCGGACTTGCGCTGCCAACACACTCATATGCGCATGAAGTCCCTCCAAAAGCTGAGGCAGTAAACACTGAGCGAAAGTGTGCATGCCCTGGAGGAATGTGGCCTCATCGATCTGGCCCTTGCCCTTGCCCTTGATTGCGTTGCTGAAGGCCTCCCCGGGCTCCTCCTGCTGCTGCTCGTGCGCTGGGTGGGCCAGTCCTGGCGGCAACGTGCATGGACCAGACAAGGGCTCCCGCATCAAATTGTATACACGAAGTTCCAATTCTGTCTTGTGAACACGAGCAGCCTCTAGGTCTGCCTTGAGCAACGCACGTTTGACCTCCAGGTCCCCAAACACCTGCTCCTGTTTGTCCATGTGACCCTTCTGTTTTGCTAACTGGGTCTGTGTTTTATCAGCCTTGTCAACGCCATCTGTGTAAGTTGGCTCTCTGACTTCTCTGAATCTCTCTCTTCACGAAGACTCCTCAGTACGACCTCTTGGGAAGCGATGGCCTCCTCGTAACCCCTCTTCGATCCCTCCGTCTCCGCATTAGTCTCCAGTGAGTTCAACATATACAGAGTTTGCTGTAAACGGATGATATGAGGGCCCACTTTGTTGGAAGACGACGTACCAGACTCTGATGTGTCTTTCTTCCTGGGTGGTACTGGCTTCTGCTCGACCTCCATCTGGGATTCCCAGTTGGTTCCACACTGCCAGCACCATGCACGTCGGAGATTCGTAGTCGCTGCGCATACGGCGCAAGTCCATGCATAATCTGCGGACGCCTGCTGAGGTGGGGGCTGCGGGCGGCGGTCGGGTCCTGAGCTCTTGCCCTTGCCCTTTTTCTTTTGCCCTTGCCCTTGCCCTCGCCTCGACGTCCCATGTCGCAACAGGAAGCTTCGTTACTCGCCCACGGCCCAGCTTTGGCCCTGGTTGGAAGTGTGGGCGAAATGTCAAGCAGGCGCTGTCGCCACTCGAGCGCTGACCCCCTCCGAGCAGAGGGGAAATGGCTTGAGCCAACCCTACGGTTTTCCTCCTCCTCCTCCTCCTCCTCCTCCTCCTCTTCATCCTCCTCCTCTTCCTCCTCCTCCTCCTCCTCCTCCTCCTCCTCCTCCCTCCTCCCCCTCCCCCACGCCCCTCCTCCTCCTCCTCCTCCTCTCTCCTCCTCCTCCTCCTCCTCCTCCTCCAACTCCTCCTCCTCCTCCCCCTCCTCCTCCTCCTCCTCCCCTCCCCCTCCCCCTCCCCCTCCTCCTCCTCCCCCTCCTCCCCCTGCTCCTCTGAGACCTCGTCCCCCGCGAGCTCCGACCACAGGCCCTGCTGCGCCTGCCGCGTCAGCGGCGGCGCCCTCGACGGCAGCAGCGCCTCGATCGCCCGCGGGTCCCTGGCCAGCAGCCGGCCGCGCAGGCCGCCCAGCTCGCGCCGCAGCCGCCACAGCCCGCCCCAGCAGCGCTCCAGGGCTTCCGGGCCGCCGCCTCCCGCCGCCACCACCTCAGACATCCCAGATATCCAATGCACTGACAAAAGCACGACGGAGGATTTTCGCAGTTTTCGGCCCCCAGGGGCCCTTCCCGGGCCTCGGGGCCGTCAAGAAACGACTCGGGATGCAAAACCGGTCCTTGGGAAGGGGTCGAGACTTCCGGGGACCCCGCATGGACAAAATCACGACGTCGGATCCATGGGATAGACAAGCGCGTTCCCCTTCTCGCAAAGCAACAGCTCGCAAGCGGTCTGGATCCGCCACGGAGGGTTTACGACACATTGCACTGATGCAAGCTTGTTTTTGTTGACGCTTGCGAGGGGGCTTCAGGGCCGGCGCCTCCCGCCGCCACCACCTCAGATAAGGAGAGCGCACATGGCAGGCCAGTCCACAAGAAACCGTCCACAAGAAACCCGACCCCGAGACCCCAGGACGCCGATCGACTTCTGGTGTGGGAACGCCACGCTCTCCACAGCAAAACGAGACCCAAGCAACCCAGGGCACCCTGGAGGCAAGCAAGGTGTTTCTTGGCATGGGCCCCCACTGCACCGATATGTCCCCGACCCCGTGCGTCGTGAACAAAGTCACGACGGGGGGCTCTCGGCACTGTTCGGCTTTTCGGGGGCCCTCGCCAGGCCATGGGGCCGTCAAACGAGACACAGGATGCTAAGCCAATCCCCGGGAAGGGATTCAGACCTCTGGGCGTCCACGTCGCGGAAGAAAACAACTTGACGTCGCGGGTCAGGGACCGCTACCTTGTCTCGTTTTCGCCTCCTTGGGCCTCCTGGAAGGCCCTCGTCGCCATGGCTGGATTCTCCTCCGTATCCTGATCAGAACGCACCCGGGGAAAGGTCCAGGGAGTAGCGGCATCGTAGGACGCAGGAGGACATACTCATACGATGTGCTTCTGATGGCGTGGCGCGCCCGAACCGAACATCACACAATACAAACATCCTGCGGTACTTGAGCAGGGACCGATCCTTCCGGCATTTCTATAGCCCTACCACGAGAAGTTCTTAGAACCCAGAAATGTTCTAATAACAACAACAATGTTCTTAGAACATTACCCGATGTGTTAAACCAAGACAGTCTCAACCAGAAATGTTCGAAGAACATTCCGTGCATACCGCAAAAAAGGTTCTTAGAACATTGTTTGGTGGGGCTGTAGGCGAGCCGGGACGCTCCGCCACTGCTCGAGGTACAGCGTCACCCAGGCGGCATGGCCAGGCAGCGCTCGCCACCGAGCGTGTACTGCAAGAGCTCCGAGCGAGCGCACCGACTACCTACCAGACCACCCCAACCCAACCCGAAGACCCGAATTTCGGGTTGGGGGGGGTAAGGGTTCCACATGTGTTTTTTCGATGTTTCCCGCCCCCCCCCCCCACTGGAAATCGAGGGTAAATCTGAGCCTTCGGGTTGGGTTGAGGTGGTTTGGTGGGTGGTGACGCACGCGTCGCCCTCGGGGCGGGCGGGGCGGGCGCTGCGGCCGTGCCGCCGCAGCGTCTGCCCTCGAGGCGCCCACGGGGGCGAGGCGCCGGCACCTCGGCAGGCCCACGGCAGACCCACGGCAGGCCCGAGGCGGCGCTCGCCCGCGGTGCCCGCGGCGCCCTCCCCAAGACGCTAGAGGCCGCGCGTCGGAGCAGGCGGCGCGGCGACGCATGAATATATATCTCTCCTCCTCCTCCTCCTCCTCCTCCTCCTCCTCCTCAGGCCACCCCCGCCACCAGCGAGAACGCCTCCGCCGCCTCGCGCGGCTCCACCGGGGGCTCGCGCCGCGAGCGCAGCGCAGCGGCGAAGAGCGCGGCGAACTCCTGCGCGGTCAGGGGGCTCCCCGCGCGCGAGGGCCCGGCGCCCGCCCGGCTGCTCTCGAGCAGGGGCCTCCACTCCTATAGAGGGCGAGCCGACTCCAGAAACTTGAGCTTTCGGAGCTCCGCGCGGATCTCCTGGACTGGCGATCGCCAGGGGCGGCGGGGGAGGCCGGAGCCGACTGTGACTCTGGAATCGTGCCCCGGGGTCGTCAGGCCCGACCGCCCGCCTCAGGTGGCGTGCTATGGGATACACAAAGACATACTAGTACTAGATGTTCTTCTTGGAGGCGTGCGTCTGACCCAAACATACAGTATACCCATCTTGTAGTATATCGTTTCCCGAGCGGTGTGGCCAGAAAGCGCCCGCCACAACGCATATACTATAAGATTTCTCGGTGCGCGCGTCGCCCCTGGGGGGGCGACGCACGTGTAGTATAAGTATGTTTGGGTGTTGCCGATGCTAGATCGACGACACGCAGGGAGTGACCCGGGGTGAGAGCGGCCTCTGGTGCGCGGCTGTTTTGGGGGCCGGCGGCGGGACCAAGCACAAGCGCGCAGGACGCTGCCATCGCATCGCGCTCGGCGATGGGCGGGGGACCCCAATGGACCCTCACCCGAGGTCACTCCAGCGAAGGGTCACTCTCACGTGTAGTCGACTACAGCGCGCACAGCTTGGACCCCAGGAGTGTGTACCGGGGCAGCTCCACGGAGCGCAGGCCGCAACGGTCTGCACGGCCAGTGCGTGCAAAAATGTTATGCCAAAGTGACCCCTCCAGGCGGCGTGGTGGCGCGCACAAGGGGGGGTCGGGCGAGGGGGGATGGCCTCTCAGGAGGAGGCCGCTTCTCAGACGGCGCCGGCCCTGCATCCACTGAGAAGGCCCGCGCCCTCCTGAGAAGCAGCCTCCCTCTAAGGAGCCCTTTCCCCCTCTTGCACGTGGGTGACGAAGAATGAAAGATCTCCACGAAGAGCTCCGAGCACTTCTGTTTAATACGGGCGTGTCCCCCCATGCAGGCGGATCTTGGACGAAAAACTGAAAATACCCCAACATGTTAAACAACAAACAAAAACATACTCGACAAATCGCCCCCAGACTATTCTTCGACAAGTTTTGGATATTCCTCCTGTAGAGTTATGTTGCTCCCATCGCACTTAAAGACCACATCCCAGACATAATGTCAAGCAGCCTGAAAAGTGTCGAAAGAGTCTGGAAAAAGTCTCGAAACGATGTCGGACGAGTGTCTCCCGGGGCCCGGCACGTGAAAACCCTCGAGCCTTTGGGCCCTTTTTTCCCTGGTGCTCGAAAATCGTTCTGGTGGTCAAGGCTAAAGTAGGTTGGGACATCATAACTTCGGGGATGGACAGACCCCCCTTTAGCAAAACGTAATTTAATGAAAACGACCTGAGGCCTAACCCTGGCGGGCGCAAGCCTGGAAAATGACGGCTACGGCGCCCTCTCGAGAACCGCAAACGGACAATTCACGAATCGACGTGTCGCTGTTAGGAGGTCTGTCCACCCCCGATAACTATAGAGGGACCGGCCCGAATGAAGCTCGTGCCGATGCAATTTCATATGCCTCGAACTCCGGCGGCGCGCCCTCTGCCGGCCCCGCGCCCGCGCGCTGCGCCACGGAGGGCGCCAGCGACGGCCTCCGGTGCTGCCCGGCGGACGCCAGCGACTGCCGCTTGAAGAGGCCCTGCGGGAGGGCAGGGGGGGGCCACTGCTGCGACGGCGATGCGCCTGTTACCCGCATATGTGGGCTGCGATCGGGATAAATCGCTCCAGAGCAATCCGGAGCGCTCTCGGAGCGTTCCGGAACGCTCTGGAGCGGCCGCGGCGCCCAATACATCCTCCAAACCCGCCGACTCTCAGAGATTTCGAGTTATCCCGATCCGATTTTGTCCCGATCTTCGTGTCGTTTTAACATGTGCACCCCGTGCAGGACTACCTGCCAGACCACCCCAACCCAACCCGAAGACCCAGAATGTGACCCGAACTTCTGGTTGGGGGTGGTACGGGTTCCATGTGTTTCTCCAATGTTGAACATCAAACTTCGATCGGTCCCCGATCAGGTCGGCTGCGGGGGGGGCATCGGCAACGGCGAGAAGAGGTCGCAAGCGCCTCTCCTCCTACCCGCGGGACTTCGGACGTGACGAGGGACCCATTCACCAGGGACTTGCGGCATCGATGGGCCAAAGGAGAATTGAGTTCAGCAGCTGCACGATCGCTCGCCCACAGCGCCCAGCTCCAGGGCGCCCAGAGATTGGTGCGACTGAGCGCTCTAGGCGCACATGGCTAACCTCCCCAAACTGTGCTTCGAGACTTGGTTCGTTTAGTCGGGGGGCCCGAGGGCGCTCCCCCGATCGATTGGATCGAATTGGCACTGAAGGGGTCTAGGAGAAAGCCATATCCAATCATTTGGCCCCATAAATGATTTCAGGCTTTGGCGAACGCCCGACCTGATATTTGGAGGCATCGCATCACAAGTCCAGAACATGCGGCGTACCAGTTTTGGGTATCCATCAGGGCGTCGAAATGTGACACGTCATCCTCACTTACCCAAAGATTCATGGCATCGCATTGTTCCGATTGGGTTTCACGGGGGCGGTGGCAGATTCAACAAGCACGCCAGCCTGTACACATTTACTTTGAACTCGCGATTAGCCGCTGGCCGCGCTGTCCAAACCCGCTTCTTGTGCGGGGAACGCGATTGACCCGCGACAGCTACCTTGAACACCTTCGGGCGGCAGGCCTGGCCGCGCCCTTGATGTTCAGGGTGGGGGTGGGTGCCATTGGCCTTCGGCTTGAGAATGTGATGGTGGACGTCCCCCACGCTGTAGATGAAGTGGTTGCGCCTCGCAAGATTGGGAAAATATCGTGGCATTTTGCCGTCGTAAAAGTTTGTTTCGGAGGCGCCGCGTTTGCTGAACGCATCAAGAGGTGCCGTTCAGACTTGCAAGCTTGACGCAATAATCACCGGACAACCGCATCGCGTTTACAAGGGGCACTGACGGCTGACCGCGCCAGGACTTCGGACAGCTGGCCTGAATTGGAGGCCAAAGCGGCTGCGACGAGACACCTCGTTGTGCGCGCTGTGGATCTGATCACACGGCCAGGGGATCGGCTTACATCCACGGCCAAAGACCCACGCAGAACGGGCAAAACAAATTTAGGAGGAGAGCTGCACGACCACGGTGCCACCACCTCCTACGAAGAGGCATCCCTCAGGCCGAGCGGCACGCCCCTCAACGTTTGTCCGGCCCCGAGCTCTCGCCTTCGCGAGAGCTCGGGATGGGGCCCGCATCGTTCATGCCCTCTCGGAGGGCAGACGATGCGCGCGGCGACGCAGCGTGGGGGTCTCCAGAGACCGCAACAATAGTCTCCTCTGCATCCACCGCAGGGCGGGGCGAGACGTTTCCTATCCAAGACGCGCATTTCCCCGCCCGGAACGGGAGGTCGGGACCTGGGGGGGGCGGCCTCAGGGCGCTCTCCGAGACTCTCCCCAACCGCCCCCCCGTGGCAGCGGATCCCGCCCACGCTGCGCGAAGCAGCGGCACGGTTCCTGCTCCTCGCGCCGTCGGCGCCCCCCCCCACCGAGGGCCCGCGGCGCCACCGACGGCCGAGCCGACAGCGACCCTCGAATTGGGGGCCGCGGTACTCGGAGGGCCCACGGGCCTCGCGACTGACACTTCCTCCAGAGAAAAGAGAGACTGGCTGGAAGAACTGCCAGCCGACGCACTGTGAGCGGCGACGACGCTAGCCGCGGGCCCATGCTCAACCTGCGCGGCAGGACCCGAGCCATGCGCGGGGCCGAACAGGAAGCTCGAAACCTCCTCTTCGGCAGCACAAACAATCGCACTCCCACGGCGCAGCCTCCGAAATATGCGGCTCGAGGGAGTTAGGACCAATCTTCCCCGTCCCAGGCCCGCCCATCTCCGCGCCCGGCTCCACCCCGTCGGCAGCAGACGGCGCAGTAGGGCCTGCGTCCGCAGGACCTGGGACGCCGAGAGGCCAGAACGTGGACAGGTCGACTTTGACCCCAGTCTGCCTTGGGTGGAGCTCCCTGCCGAGAAGCCTCCAATTCACATTCTTGTGTGGCGACGCCAGCAGAACGCACTTCTTGGCAAGGTTGGCCATGCGCTCACCTGACGTGTAGCTGCCACACCACTGGCATATGCAAACAAACGAAGCATCGCTGCAGTCGATGAGGACGCAGCGGCGCCCTAGAGTCTGCAACACCTGGGGCTGCACTGTGAGGTGCTGCGCGCAACGCCCAGGCAACGTTTTCACACGGGAACGAGATCCTCGAAAAACAACGCTGGCACTGCCAAAAAATTCGAGGAGGGTTGCCGATGATAATCCAATCTTGGCCAAGCCCCTCGGCGCGGGGGTCTCCGGGCCTCGGCGCCAGCGGGGCCCCGTCCAACGCGGCTCGGGGCCAGAGGGGCATCATGCGGGCGGCGAGCTTGACGACGGCTCGGGAGACAGCCGCTAGATGCGAGACCCGCTGGTGGTCATCCTCAGTGCCGTCGGGGTGCAGGGCCGCACCGAGCTTCGCTGCTCTGTCGGCCCAGTCGTTCCCCTTCCTCTTAAACAGCTCGTCAACATCAAGAGGCTGGTCAAGCTCGGGATTAGCCTTCACCTTATCTACGCCGTCGATGGCGCCGTCGGCTAAGGCGTCAGCCTGCAACAGAAACCCCGAATACATCCGAAGCAACGTCCACAGCTTGACGACATTTTGACAGTCGCTTTTACATCTGAGAGGTTTCGGGGGCAAAAGGGCAGCCGTGCGAGCAGGGGCACCAAACTGCGGGAAGCTAGAGGAGAGAGGGCCGCAGAGAATCGCCCGGAACTCGCCGTTGGCCGAAAGCTTCGCCGCACCTCACCCTGCCCTCCAAAGCTCCTTGATAGGCGACTTCCTACACGAACCATCAAAGAAAATGTTCCCCACCAGCTATTGTCCCATGTCCGCGTGCATTGCGAAGCCACTGGAAATGTATGGCGGCTCATCTAGGCCTGTGCCGACTTGAGAAACTCTGAGAATCTGGGCCGCGAAAGCTTCGTCTTGTCCCAAGGGTCGACGCCACCACTCTCCAGGATGAGGGAAAAGACCTGTTTCAAGATGGAACCGCTCAAGGATCGCGAGGTCGGGCTTCCTGGCAAAGCCCAAAAATCTTTTAGGCACCAGCTCTTTCCTCAGGTCTTCGCACGAAGAACACTCTCAAAGGCGGTGAAAAATAGTGTCGTTTGGCAGGCAGCGCAGAGGGCAGACGTCGTCCACTTGGTAGCCTGCAGCACGAGCGCGGGCAAGCGACCAGACCCCGTTACAGCATACGGTGAGGATGCAGCCCTTGTCCAAGGCCGAGTACTTCTTGGCCGCCAACCCTTCCAAAACAATGTCAAAGCACAGCCTGTGGTTCTGCGCGTATTTGACCTCCTGCGTTGTAGAAGTCTGCGAGAGGCTTCTCGGCGCACCTTTTTGAGCAAGGCAGGGGGGGTGAGGGTACCCCCGGACCATCGATCACCCCGGACGGCTGAGACACACACCTCATCGCTCCCAGAGGGCTCACGGCCCGCCAACTGGGGCAAGGCCCACTGAAAGCCTGGGCCCAGGCGTCCCTCAAGAAGCCCCAAGAGAAGGCCGAGGGGGTGGCGGATGTGTGTCTGAGCCACACTTCGCGCGCATAGCGCAAGATCGGGGCAGGCGTGCCGAACCGCGTCGGGCCACCCTCCGGCGCAGGAGCGAGCAGAGAGAGCGCCCACCTGAGGAGGGTTTTTCAAAGTGGACCCCGCCGGGCGCCGCACTTTAGCCAGCTCTCCGCCCGAAAACCCGTGGACCTCGCAACCGTACCGCAAGGCGGGAAGGGCCCCAGCAAAAAAAAAACCTTGCGGGTTGGACGGCCGAGGATGGCTTTGTGGCGCCGAAGACGGCCCGGTCGCGCGGCCGCCTTGGCAGCCCTGGCCTTGATTTTGGAATTTCGGCCTCGGACCCTCCTGACTTTTGATTAATGGCCGATTCCACGCGAGGGCCTACCAGAGGCCCAAAGTGCTGCTGCAACTTAAAGGCAATCGCTTTAGACGAACAGACCATGGCAACTTTGCCCATGGCAATCTCAGCCACCATCATTTGATTGATACCTTTGTGCAACTCGCTACCTGAAACGATGAGCCCCTGGACGATCGAATCCTCGGTACCGGCCGCCTCGAGCCCCGTGTCGTCAATATAGACATCTAGCGGCATGCTACCAGGGATCGAGACCGAATCAAAAACATCCAACAAAAAAATCCGAATCATCGTCGTACGTCGTGGCGAAACCGCATCCCGCCACCACGACGCGGATAGCGAACTGCACAGGCGCCACGATGGACGCCAGCACCATGTACCTACCTGCTTGGTAGGCCGCAAGACACACGGCAGCAAACAATAGAGCTTGGGAACCCCAGGTTTTGGTGACGTACCCAGACCAGGACCTAGTTCGCATACTGATCGCTGTCGCGGAAGGGGTACACCCCACGACTTTACCTACGTCGGTGTTGGCAAAAAGGTTGTGGTGCGTCTTTGACGACATCGTTGCTGATATGGGTGATTAGCCGCGTCGCAAAACCAACCGTCAACATCACAAACATCAAATTCAAGATTGGTCATTCTTGCTAGCCCTCCTGCCAGACAACGTGTACACTCGAAACCCTCGTAACCCACCCACATCGTTTGGTTCGTTGGCGTTTCTTTTTTTGGGGGGGGCGCATCCACTGAACCCAAGGGCACCAACTCAGGGAGGAAGAGGAGGAGACGGAGGAGGATCGAGGACGAGGAGGACGAGGAGAAAGACGACGACGAGGAGGCGCAGGGGAGGGGGGACAAGAGGAGGCTCTCCACAAATGGCTCAAATCTAAAGCCACAGGCGAAACAATCTGTAGATTGCCGAAAGGCCTTTCCATTATACGGGCCCCTTACTTTTTTGAAGGCTGCGGAGCGTCGGGGCCGCTGGCCCCCCGCCCCTCTGCCGGCCCCATCCGGCAACGCCCGCTCTCGCCAAGGGATGAATGACACCAGAGAAAAGCCCCATTCAGTGGATGGTGTGGAATGGGATCGGTACAAAGATCGATAAGGAGATCGACCGGGAACCCGGGAACCCGGAACCCACCGAGATCGGCCCGGCCGGAACCCACAACGAGGAACCCAGGAACCCGGAACCGGGAACCCGGGAACCCAGCCGGCTACCCAAATCGGCAGGACACTTTCGCCACGTCCTTCGCTAGGACCTCTTCAGTGCAAGGACTGATTAAGGAAAACAGTTATCTAAACGCAAGTTGCAGTCAACCCGTATCACAAGGACGCACTTAGGTTGCAAGGGCCTTGGCAGGCCATGTCGACACTTTGCGAGCGGGGTGCGGCCAGCGAAAGCGGCCGAGGAGGGGCCCAAGGGGAAGGATGCAACGGTAACCTTGCACAAGTGCGCATACTTACTAAGCGGGTTGACTGTATGGGTATATAAAAGAGAACCCCAAAAAACACCATAAACGTCAATGTTTGGCGTTCCGGGCGGATTTCTTGGATCCACGCCGCTCCCCCCCCCGAACGAACAACACACACCCATACCCATAGGGGGGTCGTTGGGAGGAGGACTGGCTATGGGTATGGGTGCGGGTTGTCGGACCCTGGGGAACGCTCCCGTTCGAGCGGGGACCCCCATCCGACAACACGCACCCATAGCCCTCCCCGATCCCCCTATGGGTATGGGTGTGTGTTGTTGGTTCGTCACCCTTGGTGCGCGGAGCGCGCCAGGGGCGGCGCCGGAGGCGCGATTTACATGGGTCGGGGCGGCTTCTCCTCTCCTCGGCAGCTGCTCCTGACGAGGCGCGGGCCCTACATCTGTAGGCAAGGCCCGCGCCTGCTGAGAAGCAGTGGGGCTTCGGAGAAGCCTTCCCCCTTCCCCCCCTTACCTTATTGAAGGGGCCCTGGGACACACAAATAAATACACACAAATAAAATGATGTCCCATATTTTCGTATATTTTCAGGGTTTTTGTCTTCCCCCCCACTTCCCATATTTTCCCTTATTTTCCTGGGACTCGACGATTAATTGTGTCTGTGTTTTTTTTCCCTCCTGACCTACGTTGCTCCCATCGTACTCAGAGGCCACATCCCAGAAATGATGTCGAGCACCAGGAGAAGTCTCTCAAACGAGTGTCGAAACAGTGTCTCCCAGGGCCCAGGGCCCGACACGTGAAAGCCCTCGAGTTTTGGGGGGGGGGCTGTTCTGGTGCTCGAGATTCTCTTTCTGGTGAGCAGAGCCGAAGCAGGTTGGAACATCATAGCCCTACCCCCCCCCTCTGCGCGTGGCTGGGGCGTCTCCCCCCCTCGGCCTTCAGCCCCGCGCTGTTCATCCGCGGGGCTCGCGGTCCACATCGCCGGGGGGGGGGGGGGGGCGGGCCGCACGCGCCAGGCGGCTCGCCCTGCGCTCGCCCTGCGCCGCTCGGCGGCGCACCGCGCCGACCACCCAGAGCCCTCCGCGCCGAGGAAAAGCCACAGCGGACGGTGCCTCGCGATCGACTCTCGGCCCCAGCGGGGGTGGGCTTGTCCAGCACCGCCGCCACCACAAGCAGGAGGGTGGGGGGGTCCTCCTCCTCCTCTTCGTCCTCCTCCTCCTCCCCCCCTCTCTCTCCTCTTCTTTCTCCTCCTCCTCCTCTTCTTCCTCCTCCTCCTCTTCCTCCTCCTCTGCTTCCTCCCCTTCTCATCCTCCATCCTCCTCATCCTCCACCTCCTTCCCCCCTCCAACTATTCTGGTGGTGATGGTGAAATACAAGTCCACCGGGCGGCTACACGCAAGAGTGACCCTGGGCAAGAGTGACCTTTGGTGCGTGGCGTTGGGGGGCCATGGGGTGGCAAACCACGAGCGCGCAAGACGCCAATGCCGCGTCGAGATCAGCGATCGGGGGGCCCGATTGGACCCGCACCAAGGGTCACTCCGGCGAAAGGTCACTCTCACGTCTACTCGAATCAAGCGGCCATCGCTGGGCAGCGGGGCCGTCAAAGAACGGCTCGGGCTGGAAAAAGCTGGTCCCCGGGACGGGGCCCAGGGCTGGGGTCTGGGCTCCCCGCTGTCCCGGGGCTGCGCTGCAGGACGAAGCCGGACAAGAATCGGCCGACGCGGCCCTCGAGCTCGGGGGGGCCCACTCGGATCCTCAGAGCCTGTCCCAGCTCGGGCCGGCATGTGCTCCGCCTCTGAAGCCGCCACGGCCCGCGAGCTCCCAGGAGGCAGGAGGGAGGGAGGGACGGGGGTGAGGTGGTGGACGAGTGGGGAGTGGGAGGGGGGGGGGAGGTGGGAGAGGAGGCTGGGAAGTGGGGGTCGCGGGCTCTTCCACATGGCCCGTTTGTGGGAGCGCATTCAGAGCATGGTTTTGAAGCGAATCCAGCCGTTGCGACGAAGGCCCTTTGATGATGCACAGAGATCAACAATACGTAATCGAAATGTGATGATGCGGGAGAACCCGTGCTACATGATGCCATGCCTGGTTGCATATTCAGACTTGAGCTCCGATAAGACATGTTTCATTGTACATGTCAAAACGGCTTACCACTCTTATGACAGGTCCGCATGTCTTCGTTGTTCGTTTGTCATTGTCGCGTGCTTCCATTGCCATCTCGGGCGCGCCTGTCGTCGTTAGTCCAAGACGCGAGCCGGGAGACAAAGGCTTCCATTGCCATCTCGGGCGCGCCTATCGTCGTTCGTCCAAGACGCGAGCCGGGAGCCCTAATGAGGCACCAGAACAAAAAAACGGCTGAATATTACGGATGATTGGCAACCCCCGTTGCCACCCCTCTCTCTCGTTAGCCCCTTCTCGTCGTCTCACTCGTCTCCTCTTCGTCCGCGGGGGCAGCTTTGGGAGTAGAACAGACATTCGGCACAAACATGAACTGTTGGAGGTTCGCGCGGATTTCGTGATCTGCGCTGAACCACCCTCCCTCGCGCGCAGGGCTGCGAGACGAGCACGGACGAGATGGTGAGCATCGCTTAAGCAATCCCCATCCCCAGCGGCGTGGCCTGGGCCCCACTGGCCGATTTACCCCCCCCAGATGGGGATGCAGGTCGTTCCCTTCGGGTTTCGAGGGGTGTGTCCCAAACTGGGGTGGCAATTCGGTGGGGGTCTCGCAAGGGATGGGGATGGGGATGGGGATCGGTGAACCGATACCGAGATGGCGCCCAGCACGGCGCAACGACACGGAGGGAGCGGCGGAAAGGGAGACCGGCGGCCAGCAGAGCAGAGCGCCCCTCCTCTCTGCAGTGCCGCAGGCGCCGCCGGCGGAGCCCGTGGCAGCACCGACCCGGGAGGCCCGCGGGGACCTCCCAGAGCTACTGCTGGCGGCGCGCAAAAGGGGGTGGAGCGAGGGAGGAGGGCTTCTTAGGAGGCTGCGTCTCAGAGGGCGCCGGCCTTACATCTATAGAGAAGGCCCGCGCCTTCTTAAGAAGCAGGGGTGCTTCTAAGAAGCCCTCC